GTAAAAAATTAACTAGCTGGGGTATTGAGCTATGCCACGAACGTTTTACTCACTAGACCTCTTACCTATTCACTGCCACTTTTTTAACCGTCTAGACAGCCACTTCAAAGAGAAGTGCTACGAAAGCAAAGGAAACGACCTTGGCCAAGTTCATAGCTTTTAGAACTCCAGTACTTTCCAGCGAACGGAGGCATCTAATGTTGACAAGAAAGAGTTGATTGCAATGGTATTTAGGCGTCATCGCAGTGTACTGGGCCATCCAGCCGGGCTAAACCTAGGGAGGGACGGGAATTTCGGGAAAAATGGAGAATTTTCCCCTCACCATAGGTCTCTCCCCTTCTCTCCCCTTCTCTCCCCTCCCCCCCCCCCCGACATAGCCCCGTTTCCGACAAGAAGAGCTTCTCCACGCTGTTCGAGATGCATTGTCGCCATAATGCCCCTGTATATTGCGATAGCGCCGGTTTTTGAATGGAAGTGAACGGAAATGCTGCGTTTGAGTCGAGATATGCACATTTAGGCTCAGAAAGGCAAAAACTCTCTCCCCCTCCCACCCTAGCTCGACTGACGTTCCTGGAGGGAAAAATAGGCGGCACTGAGCTGTTTCGACTGAACCTCATGTTCAGAATCAAATACCATTGAAACAACCACGATGGCGAGGGTGGCGGTCTGGGTAGGGGGTAAGTGAGTCGTAATGGGGGCCAAAGACTGATTGGTTGGTGGGGCTCGTACCGAAGCCCCCTGAATGAGGGAGATGTCAGCAACTTGAAGGATTGTGTTGCAAATGTGTGCTCCGGTAGCCCACACCCCAGTTTTTGGAAATATAGAGGTGAAAACCTAGCTCATAGGCAAAGGGGTAAGGTGAATAGAGCTAGATTTGTATGTAATTGTCTCTTGTTGAAAATTTTGGAGATATAGCGAGCGGATAGCAGTTTGATTGGATACGGTAGGTCTCACAACGAACACCGCACCCTCAACGCTACTTTAGCTGTACCATCGCAACACGATTTTCCTGACACACACTCGTGATGCATAGGATTTGAAAGAAGTTTCAATTCATATCGTATTGAAGCATCCACTAACACGTAACTCGCAGTCCGGATCAAACTACTTCTACAGGTTCGAGTTACCTGAGCGGGAAGTCGAAGTTCACTATCACCATGAGCGAAACGACATGCATCCCCATAAGGGCAGAAGCCGAATTTCTTAAAAGCATCACAAAGAGCCGTCTTGAATGCCTCGTCCTTTCTGTAAAAGAGTTTTCATTTACAATCGTTCACATTCCTCATGAATAACCTGCTGGTAATGATAGTCGGTTATCAATCAATTCTGCGCAAAGGCGGTGGAACAACTTGTCCGCGCTGCTCACGCGCGCATCGCTGTTGCATACATAGCACACTTGATGAACGTGTCATGCCGATAGTGGCTCTTTGCACCTAACCTTTTCATCCTCTGCACTTCCTCCCGTTCCTCGTCTGTCATTGTTTCCCAGGTGACACACTGACGTCGGCCACGAGACTGGAAATGGTTATTGGTACCTTGTGCAATAAAGGTGAAGGTAAAATGTCAAGTGATCCCACTAACGTCGAATAAATCGCTCCTGCGTCTTCTTGATCCTCCACTGGCCTCGATCGGTTCATTTACTGATGGAATAATTGCGTCTGGAGTGACCGTGATAAGTCTGGTCTGGCCGTGGAATCCTTAAAAAATATTAATGAAGCTCTCAAGAGAAGTGAGGTGCCCTATAGAAGCAGTATCGGCTCCTGCCTTTGCATACATAACCGCAACCGATAGAGCTGAGATTGCGCCATGAAGAATTCTCCATTGGAAAAAACTTCCCCTCAGCTTCGACGATATCACCATTTTAGATGGATTAAGTTCTGATCCTTCTTTTACCAAATATTGTAGACTTCGAATACGTACATGTTTAACAACAAATTCCGAACAGTGAAAAGCCATGAAGTGACGCGGGCGCTTGCGCAGCGTTCATGGAGCCGATCAACTATAGTGGCGAGTTTAAAGGCAGCGATTACGATAAAGAGGGAGCGCATCGGGGAAGCATATGCACCACACGAAGCAGTTACTTGGCTGCCAGGAAGCGAGTGTGGCGCTTTCACGACGAAAGGTGCGCTGGTTGCTGAGCAGGACTTCGAAAGCACTCCGCCCCAAAAGCGATCCGCCCACTAGTTTAGTTGGTGATTTGGACGAGCTGCGTTGCCAGCAGCGGCACAACTGGAGCAACTCGGGAGCGTGGTTTGGCATGGTGTCACCAAACGCGTTGCGCTGAACTCGTTCATACGTCCGCTTTCTGAGCTGTTACCTGTTCATGAGTGAAAACCAACGGCCAAAAAAGGGGTCCCGTTTTGCGTTTTCTTGACGGATTTCTCCGCTTTTTTCGCCACTGGCGTACCATTGAGCACCACCACGTCTTCTCATAACCTTCTTGTATCTATAGTCGCTGCCCTTAAGGTACTAATGGTAACCTGAAGTTTAAGAAAAGGTTTCAAAAGCACATACACCTCGGATTAAGACTGACCTTTTTGGCGCGCATCCGGCAATGGTCGTGCGGTTGGCCGGCGGGCCTGTTCATCGATACCATAGTAGAACTGTTCTTGTGCTGTACTGCGGGACATCTGGAACAAGCTCAGCTAAAGAGCTCCTATTTTAGGTGATCTCGAAAAAAGCTACGGTACCAAAGCCCTCATTAGTTCGTGTTTTACATCTCATAAGGAAAGCGCATGAGAAATGTAGGAGTCAATATTCATATCAACAATTGCCATGGTTTAAGGAAGTGGAAGACGGTATAGAAAAAGAGAGCCTTCAATTCGTGAGCGCGTGCTTCCTCTCGAGTACGACATCAAAAATTGGCGCCGCTGATTAAGGATAGGAGCGCAAGTATGCTGAAGGAAGATAGGGGGTGCTATACAAGTAGGGTGGGCACGCCGCATTTTTTGAACAGAAATGTATGTCACTGGGACTGCTGCTCGCTACTATACTGTCACGAGAATTGGGGAGTTCGTGAGCCAGGGGGAGTGTAGCCAATCTAGGGGGGGGGGGGGTGAGGGGAAAGTCACTTGACATGTTGAAGGGGGAGTGAGTGTGCCCGACTCTACTTGGTATCAGCAGCGGAGAGGGTAGAATTTGAGTCACTCAACAAGATCTGAGATGACAGAATGAGTGGAAAAGAGACCTTAGGCGTCGAATGTCGGCTATTGTGATAGGCGGCCTGCTGAACTACGGGCGGCGGCTAGCGAGCATGCTTATAGATAGTAAATTGTCGAGATTCACTATAACCAAGTCGACACGACTTCGTTCGTGCGAGAAAGCAAATCAACTGGCTTGTTTTATCGCATCTTCAAGTCAAAGTTGATGGGCGCTTGAGGGTTATGGACCTCGCGAGGAACGCTTGACACTCTCAGAAATGGGTAATATCTACCAGAATTGACTGGATGCTTCAGATCAAACCGGTAACATTGATTCGCCGATATTCTGCTCTATTGCTGGTTCTGAGAAAGGCCAAAAAATTCGAAGATTGGACTTATTGAGAAAATCTACCGCTTTCCCCCTTCAACTACGTGGAGAGTCCTGGCATCGGAGGATTCTCTAAGTAGAATGGCTGTTTTCCAGTCGAAGCTTTCAGATTCTTCAAGTATAATTTATGACGCATTCATACCCTTGAATCCCTTTTGCGAATGCGCCATGCTTCCTACTTTCATTCTGAATGTGGCTTCATTTAAAGGCGATCAAGCTCATACAATCAGTTGCAGGGGTAGCCAGCGTACAACTGTGATTATATACTTCCAGATGACTCTACTAGCAAATGACAGTCTCCGAAGAGGAGGGGGAAGATTCGGATGGCCTGAATAGGGGTTGTCCAGTGCATGATCCCAGGATCGTGTCTTTGAAGGAAGCGATTACGATAAAGAGGGAGCGCATCGGGGAAGCACCACACGAATCAGTTACTTGGCTGCCAGGGAAGCGAGATGTGGCGCTTTCACAACGAAAGGTGCGCTGGTTGCTGAGCAGGACTTCGAAAGCGCTCCGCCCCCAAAAGCGATCCGCCCACTAGTTTACTTGTTGATTTGGACGAGCTGCGTGGCCAGCAGCGGCGCAAATGGAGCATCTCGATTAAAGCGTGGTTTGGCATGGTGCCATCAAACGCGTTGCGGTGAACTCGTTCATACGTCCACTTTCTGAGCTGTTACCTGTTCATGAGTGAAAACCAACGGCCAAAAAAGGGGGTCCCGTTTTGCGTTTTCTTGACGGATTTTTCTGCTTTTTTCGCTACTGGCGTACCATTGAGCACCACCACGTCACACTAAACCCTTCTTGAATTTATCGTAATCGCTGCCTTCAACAATTGTCATCACTAGATACTCCCTCTTTACCCTTGGAAGTTCAATCATGCCTGAAAATTTTTGAACCTGATTTTTATCGTGGACTTTTCAACAGAACCTTTTCTCGGCACTATGGAAACCACTTGTTTGTGGAGCATAGACTTTCATCTGGTGAAAATCAATTCCATGAATTTTTCCACCCAGTTGGACGGCTGATCTTAATAATGGAACAGATGTAGAGTGAAGCCAATTCTGTCCTCTTCTCTTTTGGTTCCATTCTGTACAAAGCGTGATGAACTGTTCACGTATTGTAGCAGTTCTGGCCAATGTATGTATAGAA